CACACACACACACAAACACACACACACACACACAACCTAATATCTTAGTGAGGACATTCATTAGCATAATTCAATCCTAATCCTAACCATCTTGACCTAAAACAAATAAACAATAAACCTATTTGAGTTGTCAGAGTTTAAAACCCTCTTTGGGACTACCTACTAAAATAACTTCTTAAGGTCATAATGCCTTGACCAATCCATCATCCAGTTCTCCTTTTCTCCTTCCATCCAGGTATCACAAGAAAGAATCCCCGCACTCCTCTGTCCGATCTTCAAGGCACCAACGCCCTGAATGAGAAAGCCAGCTGGTGAGTCACAATATAAAAGACTGATATTAACATTAGAGTTTAAAAGATAGGACACTGATTATATCACCATGTTTGTTTTTTCTTTTACATAAATGCATGACATAAAGAAGAACATTCATTCACTTAAACCTTAAACAGGAACCTGCATAAAATGCACTGTAACATTTCTATCACACTTCATTCTTTTAATTGAAAAGAATACAACCTCAGATTTTTTAATGTTGTGGAAGGTTTTATGACATCATGACAACATTTACTATCTCTGATGCAGACAAAGAGACCGTCTGGACGGAATAGATTGTCTTGCTGCCTGCTTGAGTTAATGGATGTGGACAACGTTGAATCAAGTGACCTTGTGAGACCAATAACTGTTTCTCCGTCCCCCTGCAGGGATGGCTATGGCGTTGGCTGCAACGGTCGCAGCTCCAGGTCGAGTCGTCTGTCCTCAACAGGAAGTCCCGCCCTGGAGGAAGACGGGATCTTCCTCAACTCGACCAACAGCAAGCTCCTGGAGAGAGCTCAGGGTATCCTAATGTGAGTACCGGTGTTTAACTGTTGATACTGATTCCAACTAGAGCTGCAGCTATCGATTATTTTAGTCCTTGAGTGTTGACACCGGCGAGTTATAATACACAAGAGTTATTCTGTCCACAGCAGGTTGTCCATGCTAGACACGGTGACCATTTAGCAGTATATAGTTCTGTGAAATGAACAGGATTGTTTTGTAATTTAATTATTCAAGTAACTTGAGTAATCATTGCAGCCCTAATTCCAACACAGGTACTGGATGTATGTCAGATAAAATATCTAATTAATCTGCTGGTCTGAGCTAATGGACATGTGGACTCTCAGCTGCAGAGTCTAATATTTGTGCCGATGTCTTTAATATGAGCCCGGAGTGTTTATAATATACTCTTAGCTGACAGAAAGAAAGAGTAAGTTTGTGTTAAAGGGACATTCACAGGAGAAAATCACAAGGAACCCTGAGTCTGTCAAATGAAAAAATGCATTGTTGTTATTTTTCTATGAATATTTTATTTCATATCTGCTAACAAAAACCACATTTCTCACATTTAGGAGAAACAAAAACTGCAAAAGCAAGCCAACCCTTCCCAAGGTAAGACACAGACCTGGCAGTAGAATGCAACTCTATCTCTAAACTATATCTATATACAAATCAATACATCAATACACTGATCCATTGAATATGTCATTTTCCACGTGCAGCACTTGTTGGACGTCAAGTCCCTGCGCTACCTGAGCAGCGTGACGCTGCACGACCGCATCACCAAGTCTCTGCTTCACCTGCACAAGAAGAAGAAGCCGCCCAGCATCAGTGCACAGTTCCAGGTCAGTGCTGCTGTCGCCCTCTGCTGGAGAATTACAAAGGATTACAAAAACATCTGTGACAGCAAAGGCAGTATCTGCAAGAATAAAAACTTTTCATGAATATTGTACACAAAGAAGTTATTTTACACACTCCTATGAACATATTACTTTCTATTCAACTGCTTTTTCACACTGTAAGCTACATACAGGGATTAATAAAGTACTTCTGATTCTGATTCTGATATTGTGGAACAAATAAAGACATTTATTTAGAACAGAAGCTGTTTTTATGCTTTTGCCACTTTTTGTTTTGTGTGAACTCACCAAAGGAAATCCCTGTCATCTATGATGACAAGACAACTTAATGTGAATCTTAAATCGTAAATGAAGTTTTTTTACAAGACAAACATTTTATCATGTTAACCTTTAACATCAATTCACTTCTTTGTTGTTATTTGGTTGAGCATATGACATCAGTTGTTTGTATTTGCAGGCTTCCCTCAATAAGCTGATGGAGACGCTCGATCAGTCCGAGCCGTATTTCGTCAAGTGTATTCGATCCAACGCTGAGAAGGTAATTTCTGCTGCAGAGGAACAGAGCTTGTGGTAATGAGTAACAGATTCATCTTCTTCCTCAAATTTACCCTCTCTCTGTCTGTCTCTCTGTCTCTCTCTCTCTTTCTCTCTCTCTCTCTCAGCTGCCGTTGCGTTTCAATGACACTCTGGTGCTCAGACAACTCAGATACACAGGGATGCTGGAAACTGTCCGCATCCGCCAATCAGGATACAGCATCAAGTACACCTTCCAGGTAACCCTGTCCTACTGCAGTGTATCATTTAGCAGATCTGCAGTCAGTGCCAAGTCAGTGTTGCTGTATTAATTAACTGTAGCATTGTGTCATCATGCAGTGATGAGGATGTATATTTTCCTTTCATTTACTTAATTTGTTGCTGATATGTTTGTGTTTGTTTATCATTGTGCGGCTTTGTTGTGCTTTAAATTTTTTACAGCACATTTGTTCTTAGCATGTGTGTAAGTGCTCTGAGACCATGAGTCACACTCTTGGTATACCTCAACATACTTAGTTATTTTAGTTATTTTACTTAGTTATTTAGTTATTTTGAGATTCACAGTTATACATCTACTGAGAATAGGATCATTTTACTGTTATTTTTGAAACATGATTTCTAAAATGAAGATTCATAAATATAATGAAATGTGCCAGAGTAACTGGTGACTCTCATGTAGCCTCACTGTATCTAAATCACGTTGCAGGACTTTGTGCGTCACTTCCACGTGCTGCTGCCTCGAGGCACGAGCCCAACCAAGTCAGGCATCAGGGAGTTTTTCAGACAGATCCACCTGCTGCCTTCTGGGTATCAAGTGGGCAACACGATGGTATGAATATTGAAAACCACTTTATCACTTTTCTTTGTTGTACTGTCTTACACGTTGGAGACAAACAGTGTGTGTTTGAGTCTGTGAAACATTCAAATGTTCCTTTATGATGCAGGTGTTCCTGCGGGAGGTGGAGCGCCAGCGACTTCAAACCCTCCTCCATCAGGGGGTGCTGCGGCGAATCGTCACACTGCAGCGCCGCTTCAGGGCCGTGCTGGAGCGGAAGCACTTTGTCGACATGAGACGAGCTGCGTGTGCCATCCAGGTGAGCTTGAATTTACTACTGTATGTGACCCATGAATCCACTGAACAATTCTGCACCGTTTCCACTACCCAACATTTCAGGAGTTTCCATGGTCCATAAGGAAGACTAAGCCATCGGCATCCAGTGATTAATAGCTCTTTACTCTCTTTAAATGTGGTGATAAGATACAAATTAGTTTCCAATCATTGCTCCAGCTTTTACTGCTCTAACTTCTGCAGCAGTTTAACTTCTCACCTTGCTACAGTGAAGATCAGGTAGACCAGAACTTCCCCAAATCCCCAAAGGTTTATTATATTGGTATTAATTCTAACTTATGATAATTATATCATCAAAACCTATATCTATCAACTGTCTATAAAGATCAATATAAACTCTTCATGACCTTGAACTGCAACACATTTGAAATCTGATTGGTGATCAGTTGCATTTAAATCAAATTTCTGTAGTTTCTGTGCATGTAGTTTTCAGCTGCAAAGGAAATTTATGTTTAATGTTTTAAAGAGATGAAATGATCAACAGCTAAATATCAGCTAACTTAAAAGATAATAATGAAGAAAGTTTCCAGAAAATGAGCTAGAAATATATGGGATCCATAAAATAAGGCATTACCAAAATGTATTCTTAAGGCATGAATGAATACAATTGTTGACAAAAGGATTAATGAAGAGTTTAACAAATACATTTAAGAACAATTATATTGTATCTGGATATACAGTTTATAGAATAGAGATAGTGGATGATCTGAAAAAGAGGTTTACAAATGCTGTCATGTCTCTTGGAGTTAGTGAAAGAATAGAGAGACACAGGGAGAGAAATGAAATGTTTGAAAGGCTGACAGAGGGAAAAAAAACACTGCTGGTATGTTTTTTCTGGACGAGCCCTCGGAGGGGAGCTGTCCAAATCTTTGTCAGGCTAAAAGAAAACAAACCCAGGCCGTCCAGAAACAGTAAAACGCTGAGCGGGAGCCAGTGAAGCACAGATAGCATTTAGCAGCAGGATAATTTAGTGAAGAACATATAAACTGTCAACTGTCTAAAACTGTGGAGGTTAAGGTCGTACAGTTGTAATATTTTTACAAAGATTTTATTTCGGAAAGTTTGATTATGAATAAAGTTTTTTAATTGTTAGTTATTTTAAAGGTCAAATTAAAATTGCACAAGGTCTCCTGAGCTTGTTAGAATTTTTTTAAACCTTCCTGTGATTCAGGTGCCAGATAAGGCAGTCGTACTGCGTCACAATGTCCTGACAAACTTCAACTTTCCACGAATAACAAAAATATCTGGGTCTTCCCTGGTGTTGGTTTCATGTCCCCCCCAGCAGGAAGTGAGATGTTTGTGGAGAGTTGGAAATTACACATTTTCTTTTAAAGAACATTTACATTTTCTACACAAAATTCATATAATCATTCATTTTTAAAACAGGGATTTCTGTTTAAAGGCAGCTGTATTTCCATTCATAGTAATGAAAACATTCTCTCCTTTTCTTTTCTTCTGCAGCGATGGTGGCGACGCTGCCTCCTCAAACAATCCACCATGGACTCCAGTATTGAGGAGGGGGCGGCAGTTTGTCTGCAGGCGGCCTGGAGGAGCTATACGGAGCGCAGGAAGTTCCTGCAGTGGCGAGAGGCTGCCGTCATCATTCAGAGGAGCTGGAGAAACTGCCGCCACCGCAGAACTTTGGCAGCTGTAACGGTTCAAGCTGCCTGGAGAGGATTCAGAGAGAGGAGCCACTACTGTCAGACGTACAGAACTGTGACGCAGCTTCAGACGACGGGCAGAGGATACATGGCTCGACTCAGGTGAATGGCAGAGTCTGAGCACAAGTGGCTTTTGTTGGTTTTATTTTTTTAATTGCTTTTCTGATACACAAAGATCACACATACAAACAAACGTCCAAAAAAAAAAAAACATGGAAAGATCTGGATCGCCCTGTTGTAGCAGAACCTCCTGTGACATATTCATTCATTCCCTCTCTTGAGGTTGTTGACATGGATCCAATATTGAAAGAATAAAAAACAATTAAAATTAACGTACATGTATGTATCCACCATGTATGAGCTATGCTTTGATACAACCTCACAACTTTTTCTTTTTTAACAGAATGTCCTTTTTGCCTCGTCATCACTTATTTTGTTTCAACTCCATCAAACACCAAAAATCACAGATTATGATTCACTTACTTTATGCAATATCTATAAAAACTGTAACAAAAACAAATGTTCACCAAGGCTGACAGAGCCTTCAAGAAAATTACTTTAATATATAATGTAATGTAATGTATATATTTTTATATTATAAAGATTTTTGTCTGTGTTTTTTATTGGACTGTATAATAGAATTGACCTTAAACAGTTATCAAAATATTTGTAAGATTTAAAAATGATTCTCATGTTAGGAGACAGATTTCATGTTCACATATGACCAACAATTCCTGAAAAAAAATGACATACTGAAATATTATCAAAATATTCATGATGGTGGTGACAAAACCTTGAAATTGTAGTCATTTAATCTGTCTACATTGAATCAATCAATTACAGAATTAAAACAAACAAACCGAACAATGAATTTGTTGTTTCTAAACATTTTATCAACATTTATATGTTTATTGGATTCCTTGGGCCTCAGCGTTTTGTATGTCCGATCAAATGACCTCATTTTGTTCAGCAGGCAGTATTGGCTATGCTTCCAATTCTTTCCCCTTTCATCTGTTCTTTTTTAGTCAAATCCTTTATTTGCTTTATTTTTCCTTCCTCTGTCTCCATCTCTGTCTCGCCTGTCTTTGAAATACTTCATTTTAATTCTGGCTGTATACTGATTTTTTTCTCTCTGCTTTTTTGATACTCTCTGTTCCTCCAGTGACAGATGACTCAAACACACAAAAAGAACACTCTCAATATTATTAACCGTATGTTCCTGTGCTAGAGAGGGAGTGTGTCTTTGGTTGTGCTCCACCCTCCACAAAGTTTAATGGAAATCAGTGCTGTGTTTCTGGAGTAATTCTTAGTAATTCTTCTTCTTCTTAATGCTTAGATTCAGGCAGTTAGCAATGAAGACATACTGAATAACAATGTTTCTTCTTATCTGCTGCATACATGAATAGACAGGCTAAACATATGATTCTTAAAAGGTGACTTCCCCTACGTGCCCAAAACTCTGTAAACAGAATGTCACTGAGTGGAGCACATACCTCCACCAACAGTCCCCTTATACTCAAACAGGCTACCACACATTTCACACAATAATACAAACTATGGGTGTATGTTTTCAGAATTAATTATAAAACCCTGTTCGTGTTTCCTGTTTATTTTAATGACACGTTTCTGTCTTCAGGTTCAGAGAATTGAAGCGGCAGCATGAAAGACAGCGACTCAGTGGCCATTCATCCGCAGAGATAGATGCAGGAACCACGGAGGAGCTCTCCTCATTGGGTCAGGAGAGTTATGTCCAGGACATCTCTGCAGAACTTTCTGAAGACCACAAGACTGTTCTGTTCGGTGTGGGAGAGACAGAGAAAGGAGAGGACTCGGAGCGAAGCAGGAGCATAGATGAGACGAGCCACAAGAACCGGTCGAAACGAGAGAGCAGACGGATGAGAGAGTTGGAGCAGGCTCAGTTCAGCCTGAAGCTTCTCAGGGTCCGCACCACCAGCGTAGGAGGTCCTGCTCAAGAGGACTCAGTCCCTGACAGTGGCACCTCTCAGCTGGAGGAACATCACAGACATTCACCCCGAGGATCCCCAGCAAGTCAAGGAAGCTTTGAATTCCTTATTGTAGAAGACATGGACACTGAAGGCTCTGTACCCCAAGACCAACCCCAAGCTCCAGATATAGAACTACAAGAGGGGCAGACAGATTCAAACCATAATGAAAAGCCTCTGTCTGAGGGTCCCAGGGCAACATTTTATATCGCTTCTGACCAAAGTCCAGTTCATGAACAAAAATACGAAAGCCCCAGTAAATCTTACAAAGAGAGAAGGGAGTCTACATCTCGTAGGCCGGTCGTGGTTTTAATCAGTATGCAGAAGGAAAGCCCTGTGGATGAGGAGGAGCTGCTGGCAGCCCAAATCCCAAAGAGCTCTCCTCAAACAGAAGCAGCATCATCCACTTCTCAAATGACACCCATTGTAGGCCTGGAGGTGGGATCAGACATCGAGCCGGCTCTCGGGACTGCTCCCCTGACCACAAGAGATGTAAACGGGCTGGATAAATCCTTAAAGGTCACCTCTTCTACTGCTCTTGGGTCAAGTTCAGACGTAGCAGGGCTTTGCTCCTCAGAGGTGGACATCCAGATTGTCCTGGAGCCCAAGCCCGCCACTCTCCCCGGTCAGCCGGAAAGGAATGCGGTACAGCCGGCGCAGGAGGCTCCCAGCCCGATCCTGGACACCAAACCTCCCAAAGCCCAGAAGAAGAGCTCAGCCCAGACTGTGATAGTGAATATGCTGGAGAAACCGTCTGCCACAGTGTTCTCGCCACCCAGACGCAAACTACCATTCTCCAAGTAAGTCAACCATCATCCAGAAGGACGGAAGTCATTTAATTATCAAGGTGCATGTGTCTGTTTAAAGTATAACTTCACCCATCACTTTTGACTGGAAGTTCCAAAAAGATGCCTACCTACCCCTCATCCTACACACACATACACACAAATTCACACTCACACACACAGTCAGTGGTTCTAATGGGTGTGTGTGAGACAGTCTCAGCTGAAGCCGCTGCGTCTGAGGACATGGAGGGGCAGCAGGGGATGGGGGACGTCTCTGAATGGGAGACAATGAGGTGGTTTAGGGTTTTAGTTTCAGCATAGATTTGAAAATGCAGAGTCACTGATTCCAACTCATGAGTGGTCACTGGTAGTGGGGGGCCGACCACCTTCAATTTGAAGATGTTAAACTTTTCAATGAGGATATGGAGACGTCCCAAACAGTGGACTCTGCGTAAGCATTGGCCCAGCAAAGTGCTAGATAGTTTGAAACAGTAGGTTTTTTATAAATCTATCAAGAAAAGTGATATTAAAATTAGCATTAATGTGTGTAATTAATTTCCTTTACAGTTACACAAAACTGTGCTTATGTGATGTATATTCTATGTGTGTCTATGTATATTTTGCTTCCTCTCCCAAGATAAAGCTTTAAATGAGGTCGTGCTCTGTGTAAAAATAGATTCTACTATTTTTACATTGGAAATGTATTAACATCAAGTCCCATGTTTCAGGTCCGATAAGGACTTGGTGAACCAGGAAAGATCTCTTGCCATGTTCAGAGACGACTCCAAATCTGCTGGGTCCAGAAACAGAGAGGTAGGACACACAAATGTGTGTGAGCACTCCCATGAATACACACGTATTTACACATGCGCACACACACACACACACACAGACACAAACACAGTGGCAGCTGACCTGATGTTCCTGTGGTTGCCTGGAAGCAGGTCGGCCGTCCAGGCCCCAAAAAGAAAGCTAGAATGTCCCGGACACGCTCTGACTTCCTCACCCGCTGTAACTCTGAGGGGGCAACCCAGTCGGACGACGACGACGAGTACTACATCCTTGCCCACTCCCACACGCTGCCCCCATCCCTGTCCCTCCCACATGCCCACCCTGAGACGGACTGTCACAGTGACTCAGAGATGGTAAAACACCGGATTTCCAGGGGTCCCGTGACCTCCAAACAAGTTTCCTGTCCACACCGCCGTGCACCCCTTCCACCTTCTTCTCAGGTGGACCTGGCCAAGCAGCTGGGGAGGAGCTTTTTAACACTGCTAACTCCACTTTTACTGGATTGTTTCACTGCTGATGAGCAGACTCATGTTTCTTTGCTTCACTCCAACAGGCCGTCACCGTGCTCGGTCCGTACTGAAAAGCTTAGCACGTCACTCTGGCAGCTGTTGTTTTTCAAATTGGGCCAAATATAGCTGTCAACTCTCATTTTCCTCTCTGTCTCAAGAAGGCGTCTGTTTTTAAAGGGATACAATATTTTGCAGTTTAATTCTATTCTTTCCTTCAGTAAAAACACAAACCAAACAAGCATCATCACTATGTATTTGCATGCTGGAGTCGTTCAAACCTCCCACTAACGACTCCATTCTCTAACAGGATCTTAGAGCATGACTTCTGTTCGACTCGCTCACTCACTCAGCATCATTCTCTGTGATGCCGCTGATTTCTTTAATCTCTTCAGATTACGTAGAACTACTAGGACCAGAATATTAGCTGTAGTGATGTGGAATAATGCATTTTAGAAACACGTTACTAAAGTCACTGTTCATAATGCATGGTATCGCTGTGTCTGTGTTCAACAGCTAAATGTCCTTAAACATCCAAACTGCAGCATCCTAGACAAGTTTGAAACCTGTCTGAGCCTCCTCAGCTAAATGAAATACATTGTCGTTTTTATTGCACTCAGTGGTTGTTCTCTGCTCTCCAGTCTTCTCATAAAGACCAGAAGAAGATCCATAAGACCATGTCATCAGGAGACCTGGGCAAGGTTGAGGTCCTGAGGAAAACCTCCAGTCATGATGGAAGGTAGATCATGAATAGATAAAGATATATTTACACTGAAACCCTCCTCCTGATAACTGTGAGCAAATGAAATTGAACATGTACATCTGTCTCACACAGTTTTTTTTTCATGGAACATTATTTTTCTGGACTCAACTTGACCTTTAACCTTTGAACACTAAAATCTAATCAGTTCATCTTTGAGTCCAATCATAACTGATCAAAATGTTGAAAGAAAACCTCATGCTGTTATTGAGATACTGTGTGAAAAAGAATGGAACAGACAGACAACCTAAATTCATAATGCCTCTGGCTACTGACTGTCACTGCCTCTGAGGCATAAAAACACTGAATGAGTGCATCCTTGCAATGTGACATGGACGTGATATGTTTGAATTGCACTTAATTCAGAACAGTTATTTTTCTTTTGGTGACCATCATCTGTGTTTGTCCTTCAGCAGGATGAGAGGGAAGATGCGATTCTGGAGTAAGACGAAGCACGGAGAGAAAAAACTGTCAAGAGAGAAGCAGACGAGCAGGAGTGAAGCAGGAGAGACACATGGTAAAAAAACAACTGCTGTCTGTAGCTTTGAGATTTAGAGACCCACATACACACAGACACAAATACACAACACAAATTGCTCCAGAGCAACCAGCATAAATGGGCCCTGCAGATAAATTGGATTATTACATATCATAATTGCCCTCCAGAGGTCACGATCAGAGACAGAAAAACAGTAGAAAAAAAATGTAATTAAAATTATCTTTGTCTCCCAGAAGGCCCCTCTCCCCCGCACAGTCCGGACCTTGAGGCAGCTTCTGCTCGGGCTGTCAGGGACAGCAAGGAGAACAAGGAGCTGTCTCCTAAAATGAGACGACGTCGCAGTGTGAAGATCAGCAGCATCGCCCTGGAGCCCACCCAGTGGCAGAACGATGCCCTGCACATCCTCACGTCGGCCCATGACTACCGCAGCATGAACGACTTCCTCATGAAGAAGGTGAGAGGCGTACGCACACACAGGAGTACACACACACACACAATCACACAATAGGGAGTGTTCCTATGCGGCAACAGAAAAAGCACTGTCATCTTTGTTTTGTTTTTTATATCATTTTCTGTCTGTGGTTTGTTTTTTTCAGATTTTTGTTTTCCTAACTATTTAAGGTGGCGTTGGGTACTTTGAAAGACACAATATAAATTCACTTTTATTATTATCACAATATTTCTTCCTTTTTTTTCCTTAAGGGTCTGTTGCTCTAAATTTGCTAGTCCCAGTTGTTGTCTAACTTGTCCTTATTTTCAGACTTTCCACCTCCTCAATACAGTGGAGGTTAATAGAATTGGGTTTGTTGGGCTCCCAGCATCAATCATAAAATCCACATTTAACATCTACAGTGTGGCCTGGGATAAACCAGATTACCAAGGAAAACATTTCCCTTTCACCTGTGGTGTTTTGGGGAACAAAAGGAAACCTCAAAACCCAGACATTTAAAAACAAATCCAAATGACACTCAGTAGAGTTCGTACCTCCGGCCTAGCAGTCCCCTTATGAAACCACAGCTAAATTCAGTAGATCCTGATTTTAATTTTGATCTGCACCAAATTGCACACACTCATAAATATTATTCATCTAGTGTCTTTTTTTTCCTCAAGATCCTTGAAATATTCTCTAAAAATCAAGGAAAATGTTGACAAATGCCGAAGATCTGGATCCACATCAAAATGTGGTTCTTCCCGGGCCATGTCCCACCCCTCCACAGAAGTTCATGGAAATTGATTGTGTAGATTTTGTGTAATCTGGCTAAAAAACAAAAAAATGGATGAAAGCATAACCTCCTTGGCAGAGGAAATTATCTCAAGACGTATGTTAGAAAAGGAAATGTGTGGGTTTGTACCATGATCCAATCAGGGAGTTTATCAAGTCCTAGATGTTAGTTCCAAAGTTTTAGAAGTGTAGCAGCTTGTTATTTTGATGAAAATCTGAAATTATCTGGTTACCTGAAATGTTTTTGTTTCTCCAGATCGCTGACCTGGATTCTGAGGATGGTAAGAAGGACACCATGGTGGATGTCGTGTTCAAGAAAGCGCTGAAGGAGTTCAGGATCAACATCTTCAACTCGTACTCCACTGCTCTGGCTGTAAGTCCTCGCTGCTCTTTTCTCATCATCTGTTCTCAACTGCTTCAAACACAATCAGTGAGATAGGGAAGTTTTTAATCACAGTAAAGTGTACTGAATAATATTTGGATACTTCTCTGTGGTTCTCTAATCCATCTGAGATTTCCTGTCCACACTGACATATCACATGGCTAAAATAAACTGAAAATTCAAAATCATAAATGAAAACTTATGCAAAGTATATCTTCTTCTTTCCTTTCCTTTGCCCTCCCACCCAGATGGATGATGGGAAGAGCATCCGCTACAAGGATCTTTATGCCTTGTTCGAGCACATCCTGGAGAAGACCATGCGTCTGGAGCAGAGAGACTGGAGCGAGTCGCCGGTGAAGGTGTGGGTCAACACATTTAAAGTCTTCCTGGATGAATTCATGACTGAGTACAAGCCCATGGAGGGAACCATCGGCAGGGTAAGATGCAAAAGAACAGATGGATGGATGAAAAGAAAACTGGGAAATACTTTCTAATGCGCTTAGTATTTATGGATGCACAAATACAGGGCTACACCTTCATCTGGTGGGATTTGAACAGGTTGTGATAAATGTAAGAAAATAAAAAATGAAATGTGAACATATAAAAGCATAAAATAAGAATTTTAGAGCTTCCGTTTACCATTTTTCCTAAAATCCTCACTGCAAATGAAAAAAATAAAGAACACTTTGTTTCTGTATAAATTATTGATATAAATCAATTATTTATATGAAACAAAACCAAAGTAATAAATATATTTTTTCAGGCTCCTAAACGTGAGCGCAAGAAGTCAAGGAAGAAGGAAACGGACATTGTGAGTTTAGCAACGCTTCGCTAAATTAAATTATTTGGAATAAATACAATTTATTTTTTAATTCATCTGATCTGACTAGTGACTCTACTGCCCCCTGCAGGTGGAAGAACACAATGGCCACATCTTCAAGTCCACCCAGTACAGCATCCCCACCTACTGCGAGTACTGCTCCTCCCTCATCTGGATGATGGACCGAGCCTGCGTCTGCAAACGTGAGGATTGCAAACACACACACACACATATAAATATAGTATATATGCATACAAATAGTCTGGTCACTTTAGGATCTATATAGTTTGCACACTACTTAAGAGCATTCTTGATATGTCAAAACTTTCAAACAAAAAAGCTTAAAAAGCTAAAAGAAAAAAAACAATTTTATCTCCCTTGACAGTTCCTGCAACCAGCACATGGATCATTTTATTATAGCATTGTTACATTCATAACACAACATGTAGTCATGGAATATAATGTAACAATGTAATGAGATTGCGAGATGATTTATTGTATGATATATTGCAACAACCAAAAAATCATGATGTCATATTCTTCAATAAAGACATTTAGGGACACAGTATTTGTCTGAAGGATTTTTAGTTTTGAAATGCTTTGCCTTTTGATTTGCACTTTATGTATTTAGCATAAAAGCAGATCTAGAAGTCTGCCCAATGACACACATGCTCACATGCGCACACACATGCACACACACATGCACACATACACGCACACCACCAGCACTACACACCCGACTCACTTACCCACAGGCACTTACACTCTTGTGTGTAGTTTTTTTTATTTCCACTCACGCAGCACATTACAGCCCCTACTAGTCTTGTCTCACACACACACAAACACACACTGCACATTCACACTCACAGAACTCACACACTTGCACTGAGATTTGATTAAAGCTCCTGCTCCTGTAATGAATCTTTCCTCTGTCTAGTTACAAAGCTCCAGCTGCACGTTGAGAGTGCGGACATCTGAGTGTCGTGACTGACTGCTACTGTTGTTGTAGGAGGAGGCTGGAGAAATGTCATCAGTCTGATTGTGTGGTCTTGTCTTGCAGTGTGTCGCTACGCCTGCCACAGGAAGTGCTGCTCGAGGATGACAACCAAGTGCAGTAAAAAGGTAGGCAGAGGTCTTTTTGTTCACTATTTTCATGGTTCACAGACATTAACAGACATCACAGAACATCATGCTAATCTCTAATCCAAACGATTCCGTTTTCATGCCTTCTTAATTAACTTAATGATGCAATATTGTCAAATCAAATGAAAACGTCTTGGCAAGATTCCAGATTATGCTTTGGGTAAATACACTGGCTTCGGGTGGTACTCGGACTTTATTTTACATGTAAAATTGCCACACAAGAAAAACCCATAATGACAAAGTGAATTAATCTAAAAAAAAGATTAAGGTATGCAAAGTGTATGCAGACTTAAGGCTGTAACTGTGACTTGAACACATTTCTGAATATTTCTGTAAATGGGATTTGAGGTGTGATTGGTTTGCAGTGTAAGATAAATTGGACAATAAAAACTCAAACAACTTTAAGAAAAAAGGTTCAATATTTGCTGTTCAATCAAGAACACTTTCATCAAAATGTATTTAATTTCACTTGCAATAAGTTATATTTGTCTGGCTCTATTCTGGGACCTGCCCACTCTGTCAGGAGCCTTCAAGGATAGTGAGCAGCACCAATGACAGGACATGACATAGATTAGGTCACATTCAGTATGAGAAGGAGATGCAGGGGTGGACTGACATGCTCCTGTGCTCACTTTATTTCTCTCCAAGTACGATCCAGAGTTGTCGTCGCGGCAGTTTGGCGTGGAGTTGTCTCGTCTGACCAGCGAGGAGCGGACGGTGCCGCAGCTGGTGGAGAAGCTCATCAACTACATCGAGATGCACGGCCTCTACACAGAGGGGATCTACAGGAAGTCGGGCTCCACCAATAAGATCAAAGAACTCCGTCAGGGGCTGGACACAGGTGAGACTCACTGTGCATTCACGTGCTCCTCCGAAGGTCCTACTTTACGAGTTGTGAAGTCGACAACAACTTCAGTGTGTTCATGTGCTTTGAAGTTTGGAATGTGGATAAAAACGCTGAACGCTGTAAACAAAATGTGTTGTATTTGTGTATTTGGAACACCTTAATACGTCTTTCGAATTTTTCTAGTCAGCAACTAATTTTTCCGATGTTTGACACCACATGAACACACAATGACACATTTCATTTCTGTAGAAGTCATGCAGCTGTTCGTAGTTTATGTTTATCTGAAGTCTGTTCAGGCTATCATTCTGCTACTCCTGCTTCTACAGCTAATTGCAGATCTACTACTACAACCACTACTCCTACTGCTACTTCTACTCCTACTGCTCCTGCTGGTGCTTGCATTTCTTTTACCTCTACAATTACTGCTTTTACTCCACAACACTTCTTCTTAAATCACTTCTATTTGTGAACATACTGTACGGCTACAAAAAAGAAACATCAATGAATGTTGATTTTCTTGAATGTGTCTCTCTGTTCCAGATGTGAACAGTGTGAATCTGGATGACTACAACATCCACGTCATTGCCAGTGTCCTCAAACAGTGGCTGCGTGACCTGCCCAGCCCTCTCATGACCTTCGAACTGTACGAGGAGTTCCTCAGGGCCATGGGTAAGCTCTTTTTCAGTCCCATCAGGGGCTGTGGGTTTGTTTTTTTTCTGTTCCTCCAGAGGCTCCTCCAGCTCATGCTTTGTGCGTGTTTTTGGTTTCTGCTCAGGTCAGCAAGACAAGCGGGAGGTGATCCAAGGGGTGTATTCGGTGATCGACCAGCTCAGCAGGACACACCTGAGCACTCTGGAGCGTCTCATCTTCCATCTGGTTAGGTGAGATGTGAGATAAGAGTCAACAATCAGCAGTGGAGCTTCAGACGAGACAGCCAGAGACGGAAAATTAGGTTTTGAAACAAGATCTGAAGGACGGTTCTCCCTGTGAGCCAAATGTCTGTGCACTCAGCTTTTTAACTCTTGGCTGCAGAAGTCTCAGGTTCCCTTTGTCTTTTTCTCACTCAGTATCAAACGCTGTAGAACTGGTCGTCTTGGTCTCATGCCATCCTCTCAGTATTTTTTGGGAATGGGCGTCATATGCTCTAAGGATCAACGTCAGGATTGACTGATGTTATATTGTGGTGTGTTACAGGATCGCCCTGCAGGAGGAGACTAACAGGATGTCAGCCAACGCCCTCGCCATCGTGTTTGCTCCCTGCATCCTTCGCTGCCCCGACTCGATTGACCCTCTGCAGAGCGTCCAAGACATCAGCAAAACCACTGCGTACGTCCACTGACCTCAATGAACAGTCCCAACCATCAAACAGGGCTTTTAATAAGAATAACCACCTGTTTTATTGATCAAATGAATCTAGCAATGTACATAGCAAACATTTTATAGAGATGTCCTATATTACCCTTTTTTCGTATTACTTTACTTCGTATTATTTGTATTGGTGGGCTCACACAACAGTCTGATGCTACAAAAAATAGTTAATCAGAGTTAATCATCCAGGCCCTGGATATATAAACGTTTTGATGCTTTATAGTTACTACTTTTTGCTAAGTGTGGTCTTTTTTTGATTGGCTCATAGAAAGCTTGTATGGGGGCCTGTAGGGACAATACTTGCAAACCTGCAAAGATTAAAACTCCATAACTCCCATACACCCATACTGCAGGTGACACTGCCACGTCGCCAAGTGACCAACTGACACAGCTAATATTAGCATGCTAATACATGAAAAGACTAAAATCTGTCCTGCAACCTGATTCAAATGCTGTTTGATAAATATAATTCATTTTTTTTGATAATTAGATTTCATAAAAAATAACACAACTTTATACAAATAACAGAACATTATGACAATAGTGAATGAATGACCAGATACAATTGGTGTCATTAGCACAATGGGGTCTAAAGTGAATGAATTTAACTGCATTTAAAATCACTTGCAAGTGACTGATCCTGATCTTTATTTGGATCTGCACCAAATTGCACACATTCATAAATATCAGTCCCTTAAACTTGTCTGATGCTGTTGTGAAGATCTAATTCCCTAATCCAGATCTGCACCAAAATTTAATTGACTCTTCTCTGAAGACCGCATCGATTTGTGTAAGCATCGTAGTAATCTTAGCTCTTAAGAAATTTAACTTACAAACAAATGGACAGGGTAAAAAAATATTAAAAGGGGGTGTGTTTAAAGATGAGAACCACTTACTTTACTTTACATTAAGACACTGTTTATGTGTTTTATCAATTTAAAAATCACTAGTTTACAACTGAGAACTGAGTAAATAACTAATGATGTATTTAGTAATACCAGCCCACCCCTCTTGTCTTATCAATACACCTCTCCCCCCTCAGATGTGTGGAGCTCATCATCAACGAACAGATGAGAAAGTACAGAGCTCGACTGAAGGACATCAGCAGTCTGGAATTTGCAGAGAGCAAAGCCAAGAGCAGACTGACCCACATCAGGAAATCCATGGTAAGACCAGACGCTAGCTGCTGTCAGTAGCCATGACAACAAGCTTCTGTGATAGCATGAATAATCCTTATCGCCTGTAACTAAGGTGGATCTTTTCCCACTTGTTCCTCTCACTCATCACTGAAACAGTGACAGTTTTCAGCTCCACGAGCAGCTGCCATGGATTTCACAGTCACAGTCATAGCAGGAGTTCATTCCTCTGTCGGTTTACATCTTCCATCAACAGATCCTCTTGTGTATTTGCTACACAAGCAAAAAAGCCGACAAAATAACACAATCATAAGGGGACATACATCTGAAATGTAATCAGGAGGTCACAGTTGCATTGTATAGAAAATATACTGCTGTATAAAATACTGATGTTAAATTCTTCACAATAAGGCTAAACATGTGCGACAGCCCTCTGTTTTACATGATATCTAACTTGACTTAATGTCACAGCAGATGTAAAACAAGATTCTCAGGAGCAGCTAAAAATTAATTGAAGAAAAAAGCGATGTCCATGTACAAAAGAAAAACTGACCTCAGGCAACTGACTCTCAGTAATCTGCCAACAGTGAGCATAAACCATCAGTAGAGGGCAGTGTTGCACATGTTGGCCATTTAAATGCATACATTAATATAATAGGTAACAGGAAATAATGCACTTAGTTAAAATAGACAAGTTGGCTGAGTTAGGAATAGAGTAATTAAAAGAAAACTATTGTTGCTATAATGCAACACAGCTGCAGCAGACACACTCATCACAGTGCAATAATACAATCTGTAATATAAATTACATTACTGCTGGTAATAAAATTATAAAAAAATCAAACTAGAACTAATGGTAGCTCCACGTGTTTCTGATTCTACAGTTCACATGTACATTGAGAGAGTAGAGAGCATCCCTCTGGGGTCTAGTCTACTTTATAACTTCATAATAATCACATTATTTGGGATATGGATACTGATATGAAGTGAACCAACCAAATTCAGATCACTTTGACCTGAACATCAGGATATCTAATCTAACTTAATTGCGTTCACCACTCCACAAACCCTAATCTGTCCTTCCTTCCTTCCTTCCTTCCTTCCTTCCTTACTTCCTCCCTCCTCCCCCCACCCCTCCCTCCAGAAACCAGTACTAATTGCTGTTAGGTTTATGAGCATTACCCGCACTGCTACCCCGGTATGTATGCCCCCTCTCACTCCATGTGGCCGCCCACCGTCCGTCCTGTCCCATCCATCAGTCTATTTACCCCATTCACTCATCTACCGTCTGTAGCGTTCAGTCATCGTACTCATCACTTCTGTCTGTTAACTAGTTCTCTTTTTTCCGTCTGACTCTGTTTGTGTATTTGTTACTGTTTATCAGTCCTACATTTACTTTAGAGCAAGTCTAAAGTAAATGTAGTTGTTGTTATAAATTTTATTCAGGTGATGAAACCACCGGAGGTTATAATAGTAGTAAATGGCCTGGTGGAATCACTCACTAATCACTATAAAGTCCAGTAAACAGTCAATTCGCCATTTTCTTCAGCTGTCTGAATGTTTAGTCAGGATAAAGGTTTATATTTGCCGGCATTTTCAGAGACCGATTTTAAAACGAATAGCATACGCCCCTAATATTTTGTCCATACTGTAATAATTTATAAGATTTACTTCATTATATCACGATTTTGTAATATTACGATAATAAAGAAGCAATATCACACAGATATAACATGTGAACCTCTCAGTCGACCACTACCAATCATTTTCTCCTCCAGGCAATTTCTTTGGAATAGACACAGTTTCTTGAACAGTCTTTTCAAAGATCCTTTTTCGTAATATTAATATCGTAGTTTTATGTTTGGTTGATGTTTGTTCGTGTTGAGCGCTCAGGCACGTACAGCACGCAGGCTGTAGCTCCACTGTCGACACTGACAACTCTTTGCTTTCTGTTTCTGCCTCACGACTAATTAACATGCAGCCTAACACAGCTAAACTTAAGGTAATGCCCACCTGTGTGTGTGTGTGTGTGTGTGTGTGTGTGTGTGTGTGTGTGTGTGTGTGTGTGTGTGTGTGTATAGTTAGTATTTGGTCAAAACGTCCAGCTGTCCGTAGAGCGAGTCCACTGTCTGATCTTCATCACTGTCAACAGCAAACTGATTATTGTTGGTCACCCTGGATGAACACATTCTCATGCTGTGTAACTCTGTGTGTGTGAATCTACAGAGCAAAGGCCGTGTGCGACAGAGCAGCAGCCACACGCCCTCGCCTCCTCTCAGTCCCAGAGCGACTTCTGAGCTGGATGGAGACAGTGCAGGAGGAGGAGAAGGAGGAGGAGGAGGAGGAGGAGGAGGAGAGGATGCAGCAGAGGCTGGGCTGAACGAGCAGCAGCAGCTGGTGATGCAGCAGGAGGAGCGGATCCTCACTGAGCAGATTGAGAGTCTGCAGAAAGAGAAGTATGACCTCTCTCTGCAAGATTATTCACATCAGATGAGGCTGAACCGTGTTTTTTCTTAAAAGTGGGATACATCTTTTGTACAGGCTGCCAAAGCACCAACAAGATATGAAAAGCACAACCCAACCCTTATGATATTTGGACAAACACACATTAAAATCAATAATTCTGTATCTCTGCCAGCAAAAGAATTATTACAATATCACTCTCAAAACAATTTTTTATAGCTTTCAGCAGGTGCATCGTTCTATAAATAGTACAAATAAAAACACTACTCCAATAACATGTAGTAGTGCTGAGTGAATACATTGCTTTATATTTTTTATATGGATTACATAGAGACACACACAACATGATAAACGCCCTAAGGTTCAAGTTTGTGTGTGTCTCTGCAGGGAGGAGCTGACGTATGAGATGTTGATCTTGGAGCCACGGGTGTCTGACGATGAGACTCCTGAATCTGAAGCCTCCATCGGAACAGCAGACAGCTCTGAAAATATTACCATGGAGACCAAAGGAGCTGCATCTGACCCCTTGGGTAATTGTGTGTGTTCTTTACTTTGTATTAAACAGTGTTTCCACTCGCAACAGTTTATCATGAAAACCTCTCGCGACACTGTTGAGAAATCTTTAACCATCCTGTTATTATTATTATCCACAGATCCTCCCTTCTCTCTCCAAGCAGAACCCAAGGTCAGGTTATAGATAAAGGGTAAATAGGAGTACATTGTAGTGTCTTCTGTCTACGTTGATGGACTTTCATATCTAACTCAGATGCCCCAGACACAGAGGCACCAACTCTAACTCTTTCCTAAATTACACCAGTGGCAAGATGTAAGGACACAGTGTGATTTAGTTATTTAGACTTGGGGGTGACAGTTGCTCATGTTACAGTGTTAGTGTTTGTATATTGTTCCACCTTCTGGTCTCCTTGATGCATCAAGTCTACATTCAAATCTTCTGTATAAGACATCAGCTGCTGCCTGAGTTCTCTTCACCAGCTTCAACAAAACGTCCATAACAAGGACAATAGCAACCAAGGTCGTAAAGATACGATGAGCTGAGTCTCTGGTGGAGGGAGTGATTACACAGGGCCCCTTCAGCTCTGGTATGGACTAAACCCTCACACATTTATGGATGATTGCTATGAGAAGTATCCTTATTTGGACATGAAGTATATTTTGTAGAAGGTTTAAATACTCCAGGAAGACGACCTTCAGACCTGGGTGGAATTACAATGTTAGCATGTATTGCTCATTCTCATGCCTCATGTCAGTGACAGCCAGTTGCAGAAGGAGTTATATCCATCCAGCTTTCTTGTTGACATGATACCTCAAGAATGCTTAAAGGGAATTTTGTCAGATTTAGTAAAGGATGGACTAAAGTAAAGGACTGGAAGGACTGGAAGGATGAAATGATTAGTATTTGGTGGTCAAAGGTCAAGGTCACAGCGACCTTGCAAATGTTTTGGCCTCTTATACATGATATCTCAAGTCTGTCTTTGGGGAATTTCTGTCATTTTTTACTAGTTGTCACTTGGACTTAAAAACACAACAGTGTTAGAGTGTGCTTTCTAATCCCTCTCTACCTCTCCTGTCTCTCTACACAGAGCGTGGCACTTATCGCTCCAGAAAGTCGGAGGCAAAGAGCAGACGAGCTCTGCATCGTCAGCCGGACTCCCAGGACTCAGCAGACTCCACCTCCACGATCTCCTCCTACCACCCCTCCTCTTCTCTCTCCTCCAACGCCTCCGGCTCTCCGTCCCCTCACTACAGGTTCCGCTCCTCCTCTTCCGGGCCGTTGCTCACCTCCTGCGGTTTGGGGACCCCATTGGGTGAAGCAGAGGCAGGTCACAGAGGTGGCAAGACCCAGCACAGGCTCAGACTGAGCCGCAGCTCACCACGCGAGCCCTCGGGGAGCCACCGGAGGGAGTCTGAATTCAGCTCGGGGCCGCAGCAGCTGGTTCTGTATGGGAGCAACGAGTTCATGGTGTGAAGCCAAGGAGAGAAGGAGCGCCGGCCACCGCCTGTTGGAGCACAGGAGGGTGTGCGAGAAGTGGGAGGAGGGAGAGTCCAGGGATGGATGAGGCTGGTCACGGGGCGAGTTTCATGCCAAATGTCGACTGCTGCCCCTCCTCTGTTCTCACCACCCTCCTCCCCTGGTCCAGTCAAAGCAAAAAGCTGTGAGAATCAAAGAAGACTGGACGTAGTACATAGAGGGACAAGACAACAAAGATGGTCAAAGACTGACGACTAATGTGAATAGAGGGAGTGAAGTGAAACGTTTTTTGACACTATGATCTCAGTGCTGTTTGACCCCTGCTGGAGCACCAGGGGTCAGTTAGGGGAGAGAAGAAGAAGTGGAAGAAGCGAAGGACGGGTGGAGAGACACAGAAATAAAAAACACTCCTGCAAAGCCAAATCTGATAGTGCCCTGTCTTCATTTTTTTAGCATGTGGTCAGGTGGTAAAAGCCAACCCCGAAGAAATGTAGCCATACCGAACTGAACTGGCGGACATTTTGTCTGTAACCAGCGCCAAGCTTTTCACGTTTACACAGGACACACCAGCCAAGAGGCTGCATGCTTCTCCATCACACTTTTTCCTATGTCAATTTGAAGAAACTGTACAGAAATATGTCACAGCTCTATGTTAGGTATTATGTTACAGAGGAAAAAAGTGAACATAGAAAGAAACTCCAGTGCTGCTCCTGGGCCGTTCATTGTTGATTTGTCTTTATTTCCTCCTCTCTCAATTTTGCAAAGTGAAGTGTATGGAACTCAGGTTCCACTGTTTGTTTCTGTGCTGGTTTCATCCAGTTTCCTTCCATTTTCTTTTTTCCCTTGTCCTATATCACAGTGAACAGAGCCAGTTTTTGGGTGACCTCGGGTTTTATTCTTCAGAAATAACAGAAGGAAAAGCTGTCAGTCTGTGCTACGCGTTGGGTGTTTTGTATCTGCCTGTCCCTGCAAGCTTTCTGTTTTTCTGTCTGTTTCATTCAGAAGCATCAGTGTTACTTTTGTCAGGACTTGAATATTTTTTTAATATATACTATTGCTGTATTATACATTGGTGTTGATATCAAAGATGTCATGTTTATGCTGTCATGGTTTATTTTTGTTCAGATGAACACCTGACTGTGTGTGTGCGCGCGCGTGTGCCTGAAGAATGAATAATTCATGCCACTGTATCAGCTCCCACTCGGTGCATGTATAGTCGTCTCTATACACACTTATACATTTCCCCTATTTAACATATTATTCCTATAAGGCTGGGAAATCTCTCCAACCATCATGTGACACTAAAACTAACCCAGACTTACAAAATGTTGGTTTTGATTTTCATTGCGCCTTGGGAGAAAACTTCAGCACTCACATACTCACTCCGTCCATGTCGTCCTCTGAGCCGTCCACAATACGTTCTTCTTCTCAAACACAAGCGTAGCTCTTCCATTCTCCTGTCTCTCGGCTCTGGCTGTGAAAAAGTAGCATTTAACCTGCAGACAAACAAGTAGCACCTAACTCAGACCGTCCTTGTGTTTCTGCATAATCCTGATCTCTCTCTGTCTCTGTCCACGCAGTATCGGTGTAATCTTCAGTTTAACGGACATACTCAGTATCTTAAGAGCAATGATGTCTCTGTACTAAAGCTGCAATATCCCTCCTCGCTTGCTGCGTCTGTGATCAGATCCTCGTGGGCGACTCTCGTTCCGATCTCACCTATACAATCAGTGTTAATCAACTTTTCCTTGAAGCTGGAAGTCTCCGTGAAGACTGTGCTGATCTCAGGTGTGAGATGCAGGTGTGGAGACTTGCAATGTGTTGTCTTTTTATAACATTAGCTCTAGACCTGTTTAAAAGAAGAAAAAAAACTGTTTTGAAGGTGAGATGAGAAGACAAAACTGATTCCTGGTCAAATATCAAGCTGATAATTGAAGTGAGGGTATTTGTACATGTCCATGCTGTCCATATGGCATTCTGCAAAAAAAGAAAGAAAAAAAAAAGAAAAAAAGTGAATGTACCTGTCACTGGAAAGCATGCTGTGCTTTCTCTGGTTGTTTTTGTTCCTCTTTTATACACAGTGTATGTACTATTTATGATCATGCTTTTGGGGTGTACATTGATTTAAAAGAATCTGTTATATAAGGTGTTATAAAAGGATATATTATCCTATGTACGGTTCATTATCTACTATTAATCATGGCAACATTTTATCAGGCCACAATGGGTCTGTCATGTTTGTGCTACGAAGCAGAAAAAAAAGAAAAGCATTGTGTCTCATTGTCTGCGCCACTCTGGACACAGTTATGTATAAGGTGCAATTTGTGTTATATTTCTTTTTTTAATGATACAAACATGTCTATGGTCGTAAGAAAAAAAAAGACTTTATGGGGAAAATTTCATCTGCTTATTAAAAAAGCAAAACTGCTGCCAAACACACTTGAGTTGTATTATATTTGCATTCACTGCTACTCACTGAAACACGTTTTGTGTATCCTTGAGGCCTTAAAAACATATTGGATGCAACATCCTTCTCGTTAAAATAATTACACATGATTTTTAAATGATGTATTGTTATTCCTACTTTCCCACATCAACCAGTTGTTTGAGGCATTATGTCCCAGGTTGTCCTTTGTCCGTCCACCCCTCCATCCCAATCCTCAAATTTGTTACAAACATTCCTTAGGACTCAAGGATGAACTGTATACCAGACAAACAAAGGATTTGAAATTATGTTCCTAACTATCCCACGGTCAAGACAAGACAAGACATTTCTTAACAAAAGTAACAGTAAAGTGCACAGGCACAACAAATAAAGACAGACATATCCTAACACTAAAGTAGACAATAAATAAAAATGACAGTTCTTAGTGCAAACGTATGAGGTAGCAGCAAAGTTTTATAATATAATAAAATATGGTGATAAATAATGAGTTGTGATAGTGCAAAGACAGTCCGTAGTAGCAGTAGAAGTTTTTTCTGTTTGATATAAGTGTGCAAATGGCATAGTAGTGCAAACTCAGTATGTGGGTCAGAGGGTTCAGAGTCCTGTGTGTGTGTGTGTGTGTGTGTGTGTGTGTGTGTGTG